TGTCCTGTAGGGTGTTACAGTTAAGGGAAACCATATAGGAGCCCTGTTTGTATTCTGTAGGGTGTTATAGGGAAAGGAGAACCATATAGGAACCCTAAATGTGTCCTGTTGGAATTCTATGGGTGTAGAAGGGCCATATAGAAACCCTATATGTGTTCTGTAGGGAGGATATAAGTAAAGCAGGGCCATATGGGAACCCTATATGTGTCCTACAGGGTGGATAGAGGTGAAAGAGAACCTATAGGAATCCTGTATTTGTCCTGTAGGGTGGATGTAAGTAAAGCACAGCCATATAGGAACCCTATATGTGTCCTGTATGGTGTTAATGGGTAAAAGAGGACCATATAGAAATCCTATATGTGTTCTGTAGGGTGTTGATAGGTGAAAGAGGACCATATAGAAACCATATATGTGTTCTGTAGGGACAGTTTAGGTCAAGGAAGGAGATAGAGGAATCCTATATGTATCTTGTAGGGTGTTAATAGGTAAAGGAGAGCCATATATAAGCCCTATATGTATCCTGTTGGGTGGGTGTAGGTGGAGGAGGGCCATATAGGGACTCTGTTTGGGTCCTGTAAGGTGGATATAGGGATATGGGTAAAGGAGAGCCATATAGAAGCTATGTATGTGCCCTATAGGGTGAGTATAGGCAAAAAAGCCACATAAAAGCCACGTGTGCCCCATAAGGCAGATATAAGTTGAAGAGGACCGTATATAAACTATATTGTTTCCTGAGGTGAACATAGGAACACTGCAGCCTGAAAACCATATATGTGTTTAATAGGACAAGTAGAGGTAGAGAAGGGCATAGATGTGTCTGTATATGTGCAGGAGGCCCTATAGAAGCCATATATACATCCCATAATGCCAGTACAAGTAGAGGAGGGCTGTAAAGAGCTCCATAGGGTGGGTTATGGGTGCAGGAGGCCCTATGGAAGCCATATATACATCCCATAATGCAAGTACAAGTAGAGGAGGGCCATAAGGGGCTCCATAGGGTGGGTTATGGGTGCAGGAGGCCCTATGGAAGCCATATATACATCCCATAATGCAAGTACAAGTAGAGGAGGGCCATAAGGGGTTCCATAGGGTGGGTGTGGGTGCAGGAGGCCCTATAGGACCCGTTGCTGTGCCCCATATAGGGGCTATAGGTGGAGTACAGGGGCAGTTCCCCCCAGTTTTTCCTATTTCATCACACGGTCCTCAGGGAGCGTTGCTCTCTGGAGGACCCGGGACTGATTGGTTAATTAGTTAATTAATGAACAGCCGCCTGCTAATGAGCTCAGTCGTCTTCCAGGCGCTTTTCCGCTGCCTTTTGCGGGGCTTTTAGGGCCTTTCTGGGGCTTTTTTGGGGCCATTTCTGCCCTGCCACTGATGTTGCCTACCTTGTAATTAGGTCAGGGCCACCCAAATGAGCTCGGGATTAATTAACACTCGTCCCAAGCACAACAAATTCAGGAAGTGGATGTGAGGTCCCGTGGCTTCGAGCAAATGGTGCTGAGAATTTGGGATTTGGGGTGGATTTCTGCCACTTTGGGGCAAATTCCTGCCACCTTTGGGTGGATTTCTGCCTTTTGCAGCTGATTTTTCCTTTATTTTGTCATTTTTCACCATCTTTGGGCAGATGGGTTTTTTTGGGGGCATATTCTGCCATCTTCCAGCAGATTTTCACTCTTTTGGAACAAATTTTGCCCCTCTTTGCAATATCCCCCCCCCCCCAAATTTCCAACCCCATCCAGTTGCCATTGGGGTTTGCATTCTGCATCCACCTGTGTGCCATATTCAGCCCAGCTCCACTGGTTGGGGTCAGGATTTAGAGCTGGTGTTGGGTTTTAGGGTCAGGCTTGGGTCTTCATGTTGGGTTTTGGGTTAGGTTTGGGTCTTAAGGTTGGGTTTTAGGGATGGGCTTGGGTTTTGGGGTCAGGTTTTAAGGCCAGCGCCGTGTTTTAAGGTTGGGTTATGAATTAAGGCTGGGGTCAGGTTTGGGGTTGGATGTAAGGCCAGGGTTGGGTTTTGGAGGTAGAATTTAAGACCAGGGCTGGATTTCGGATTAGGGTTGAGTTTTAAGGACAGCATGGAAAGCCAGCGTTGGGTTCAGGGTCAGTATTGGATTCTAAAGGTCTGATATTAAGGCCAGGGTAAGGTTTTAGGGCCCAAATTTAAGGCCAGGGTTGGATTTTAGGGTCAGATAGGGTTGGGTTCAAGGCCAGGGTTGGGTTTTGGGGTCATGATTTCAGGCTGGGGTCAGGTTTAGGGTTGGGTTTTAGGGTCAGATAAAGCCAGGCTCTGGCTTTAGGGTCACAGCCGTGTTTTAAGGCCGAGGTCAGGTTTGAGGGCCAGAACTTGAGGCCTTGGTTAGGTTTGACCTTCAGTTCTTCGAGCGCAGCCCCGCGTTGATCCCATCCTCCCCTTTCACCCCACAGGGAAGATGGGGAGCTGGAGGAGGGCGAGCTGGAGGACGACGGTGCCGAGGAAACCCCGGAGCCACGGCCCACGCGGAGCCGCAGGGAGAAGGGAGAGCGGCACGGCAGCGACTCGGATGGGGAGCGGTCGCACCGACGCGGCAAGCGGAAACGGCGTAAGGAGCGCGAGAAGGAGAAGAGGAGAGCCAAGAAGAAGAGGAAATCCAAGCACAAGGTGAGCCGGGCCTCAGAAATGCCCTTCAGTGGGTCTCTACGTCTTCAAAAACGCTCTTGGTGGGATCCTGTGTCTTCAGAAATGGCATTTGTGGGTCCCTACGTCTTCAAAAACACCCTTTGTGCGTCCCTACATCTTCAAAAACGCCCTTTCTAAGTCTCCACATCCTCAAAAATGAGCTTCGTTGGTCCCTACGTCTTCAAAAACGCCCTTTGTTGGGTTCCTGTGTCTTCAAAAATGGCACTCGTGGGTCCCTCCATCTTCACAAATGCCCCTTGTTGGCCCCTGGGGTCATCAAAAATGCCCTTTGTGGGTCCCTTTGTCCTCAAGAATGGCCTTTATGGATTAAATGCTCAAAAATGACATTCATGGGTCCCTGTGTCCTCAAAAATGCCCTTTATGGTCCTTAATCTTCTAAAATGACATTCGTGGGTCCCTGCATCTTTAAAAGTACCCTTTGTGGGCCCTAAATCTTCAAAAATGCTGTTCCTTCGTCCCGGCGTCCTAAAAGATGCCCTTTTGTGGACCTTAAGTCTTCAAAAATGCTCCTTGTGGATCCGTCCAAAATGAAGTTTGGGATGAATAACATTGGAATTCCTCAAACAAAATGCGGTGGAAGGGAATGGGAGATTTTTTCCCCCCCGATGAAGATTTGACGTAAGGAGAACCGGGGTCCTAAAAACCCAAAGTTTTCTATAAAAATACCCCAAAAAGCCCATGATGGGGGCTGATGTGTGGTTCCCTCACAGCGACACGCCTCGTCCAGTGATGATTTCTCCGATGACAGCGATGACTCTGATTTCAGCCCTGGAGAGAAGGGGGGGCACCGCCGGTACCGGGACTACAGCCCCCCTTACATCCCTGTGAGTGCTGGGAGAATGGAGTGCGGGCCCCAAACATGGGGAAATTGAGGGGTTTTGTCATTAAAAGGCTTTCAGAGCTGTTCCCAATGGGATCTCAGCAGAGCTCTCAGTGGGATCCCAAAAGTGCTCCCAGTGGGATCCCGCCACTATTCCCAATGGGGCTTTCAACACCATTCCCAATGGGATCCCAGCACTGTTCCCAACAAGATCCCATTACTGTTCCCAGTGGGATCCCACCACCATTCCCAATGGGATCCTACCACCAGTCCCATTGGGATCCCACCACCCTTCCTAATGGGGTCTCACATTCATTCCCATTTGGATTCCAGTCCCATTCCATGCAGGATCCCACTACCATTCCCAATGGGATCCCACCACTGCTCCCATTGAGATCCCACCACTGTTCCCAATGGGATCCCACCACCATTCCCAACGGGATCCCATCCTTGTTCTCAATGGGATCCCATCATCGTTCCCAATGGGACCCCAGCCCCACTCCCTGCAAGATCCCACTACCATTCCCAATGGGATCCCACCACCATTCCCAATGGATCCCATCCTTGTTCTCAATGGGATCCCATTACTGCTCCCATTGAGATCCCACCACCATTCCCAATGGGATCCCATTCTTGTTCTCAACGGGATCCCATCATCATTCCCAATGGAATCCCAGCCCCATTCCCTGCAGGATCCCACTACCATTCCCAATGGGATCCCATCCTTGTTCTCAATGGGACCCCAGCCCCATTCCCTGCAGGACCCCAGCCCTGTTCCCATTCTTCCTCTTCCCCCACAGCCCCACCAACCCTACTCCTCTCACAACGCCCCGATGCAAAAGAAGCCATACTCCAAGATGGAACCCAAAGGCTACGGCTCCTATGAGGACTACGAGGCCGAAGAATATGGCCGCTATGAGGGGGAGGAGGATGAGGATGGGCCGAAGGACGACTACGACGACTTCGCCAAGGAGCTGAACCAGTACCGACGGGCGAAGGAGGGATCGCACCGGGGCCGAGGTACAGAGCTTTTGGGGCTGGAATCTCCCCTCTTCGGTACATTGGGACTGGAAAAAAACACCCCAATTCCATACCCAGACCTCACCCTGTGTCCCACTGCCCCAATTTTCATCATTTTGGGCTGAAATCTGCCACAATCCATCAACTTCTAACATCAGCAATTGACCCAAACCCCACTCTGAGCCGCACTGCCCCAATTTTCATCATTTTGGGCTGAAATCTGCCACAATCCATCAACAACTGAAACCCCTGTTCCATACCCAAACCTCACCCTGTGTCCCACTGCCCCAATTTTCATCATTTTGGGCTGAAATCGACCAGAATCTGCCAAGTGATGCCTCCATTCCTTCCCTAGGTGGCCGTGGCCGTGGCCGTGGGTTCCGGGGCCGGGGTCGGGGCTGCATGAGGGGCGGCCGAGGAATGGGACGGGGCAACCGTGGTCGGGGCCGAGGGGATCACATGGAGGATGAGGAGGAGATGTACGAGGAAGAGATGGAGGTGAGTGGTGGGGATGGGGATCTGAGAGGCTGGGAGGGTTGTGAGTTACGGGAATGGGAGTGAAAAGGGTTGAGATGGAGTGAAAATGGATGGGAGTGGGATGAAAAGGGATGGGAGGGTGGTGAAAAGGGGTGGGATGGGGATGAAAAAGGGTGGAATAGGGCAAAAAGTGCTGGGAATGGACATAAAAGGAATGGGAGGGGCTGGAAATGGACAGGTCTGGAGGGAAGAGGACTGGGGATGGGGTGGAAAGCAATGGGATGGGGATAAAAGGGGTGGTAATGGGACAAAAAGGGATGGAATAGGGCAAAAAGGGCTGGGAATGGAGATAAAAGGGATGAAAGGGTGTGGAAATGGATGGGAATGGGGAAGAGGGAACGGGAATGGGGCTGAAGGGGATGGGATGGGGATGAAAGTGCTGGAATTGGTGCAAAAAGGGATGAGAATGAGGCTAAAAGCCATGGGAATGGGGATAGAAGCAGAGGA